CGCGAGGTCCGCTTCTGTGGCATCGCTGCCGTGTGCCCAGCCAAGGGACCCCAGCTCCTCTGTGATAAGGAGCCCCCCACTTTCCTTTGGCCCACGACCGCTGTTCCCTTCCCAGGCATGGGTCTGGGGGGAGAGGCCACGAGCTGGGGGCCTGACAGGGGCCACAGAATCCTGCACTGCGGTGGGCTCCCCGTGAGGACACTGTGGCCATCACTGCTGTCACTGAGCTTCTCCTTTGGGGGAGGGGAGGTGCCATATGCAAATCCGCACCAGAGAAATGGGGAGCAGGACCGAACCCTCAGACCCCCCAACACCACTGTTACGGCCCCAAGTTGCGGCGGCTCACACAGAAGCCCACGTACAAGGAAAAGTGTCCTTGGTGGCCCCACTTTGGGGAAGTAGCAAAGGCCACATAGGGCCTGGCGGTGGGCTTGTGTGTGGCGGTGTCTGCGGTGCAGGGTTGGGGTGAGACGAGCAGAGCCTCGGGTGGGAGGGGAGGAGAAGGCGCCACCTTGATTCCGTCGCCACGAGCCGTTGCGCGTGAATGAGCTATGACCCACGACGTTTATGTGGCCAGTGGTCCAGAGGGAGCAGCCGAGGTGCAGGGGTGAGTCCTGGTCCCTCAGCCGAGGAACCAGGTTCCAGGAAGTTAATGACTGAAGCCCCCTCCCCCGCCCCACTTCCCGGGCAGCTGGACGGGGGGGTGCCAGGGTGTCAGCACTTCTGATACTGTCACCTGCCTTCCGGGGGCATTGAGACGCACCCCTCCTGGCTGATGCCCCTTGTCTGGAACGGCAGGGCCACGAAGGAGATGGGGACATTGTGTAGACGGGAAGCCTCAGGGCTTAGCGGAGTCTGCGGCGTGCGGTAGGTAGGACCATGGAAAATCGCAGCCACCGAGGGAGCCTGACGCGGCCCCCAGAGTCCCCGCTGTGGCCTCAGGGGCAGGAAAGCAGGTGGCTTCCCAGGGCCGCGGCCGTGTCGGTGTCGGGGCCAGTGCCCTCCGCCGCCGTGACCTCGGGCCCCCTGTGCCCCCGCCCGGCACTCGGCCCCGCGGCCCCGGGAGGAGGGCTTTGGCTGGAGGAGCACTCGGCCCTTAGGGGCCTGTTTCCTGGGCCTCTTTCTCCCGCTGCTGTTGTTTTGAGGCAGCGATCGGCGAATGGTATTTACCGTCACCCCCAAGCCGCAGAACCAAACCCGGGAAAGGAGCTCGACAGCTTTTCTGCTCAGCAGCTGGTTTATTTTAAACCGTCCAAGTTGATGGCCCAGTCCACTTTTCGATGTAGCTGCGATGGCATTAGGAGATTTAGACGTGATTTTTACAGCGTGAAAAAGAAAAATAGAATTGAATATATGGTAATGATGAATCCTTCAAGTTTTGTGTCTAAAATTGCTTCCAGGCATGAGTTATTGCCTAATAATTCGTGCCCTGTTGTGTCTTCCTGCCTAATGAGCGTGTGGAGGACCGTTGTCGGGATCGC